GCTGGGGCGATGGCACGCATGCCCACAGAGAGGGTTCTGAGTGCCACCTCTGGCACCTGTGCCATAGGTTCGCCACCACTGCTTTATGGCATTGGAGTTTGCTGAGGTCCCTCCCCTCCCCTCCTCAAACCGTGCCGTACCACTGCCATACACCCCAAATCTCCAGGTATTTCTCCACGCAGAGCTGGCAATCCTAACCCCAATTTAATTAAAAATCCAGTGCTTAACTTTGTTTTAAAATTGGAGAACATTCTAATTATTATTGTTTTACTTTTTGTTTTGTACAAAATATTGTGTTTTATTTCTAGGGGCTCAACCTCCACCCCTGTTTGCTTCATTTGCCCATTCTGGAGCTCTCTGCTCTTGTGGCTATTTACTGGTACTTTGAATACGGAATGAATTTTGCCTCCTGCCAAGAAAGAGCTGCATCGGTGCCAGATGAAGTAATCTTTTGTTGGCGAGCCATAGTCAGAATTTGATTTATAGCTAACAATATACCCCACCTTTCTCCCCAATGGAGAAACAAAGCAGGTTACATCATTCTCCTCGCCTCAATTTTATACACTCAACAAAATCCCTGTGAGGTAGGTTTGGCTGAGAGGATGTGACTGGCCCAAAGTCAGCCAGCAACCTGATTTTATTAAGTACCACTGTTGATGAATTGATTATTTAAAGATTGTAAAGTTAAGTTTGTAACTATTTATTATGTACCCCACCCTGAGCCCTGCTGTGCAAGGAACGGCGGGTTAGAAATCGAACCGAACGTAGAAATTGAATGTTTAAATAAATAAACCTTCTGAGTTAAGTGTGGGGATTAAAACTGGAATCTCCTTGGTCCAAGTCCAAAATTCTAACCACTACATCACACAGACTCCTATAAGAGAAAGGAAACTGGACTTGAATCTAACTTTTTTGAGGAGTTTTGCATGCCACAGAGGAATGAAGAGACAGATCCTTTTATCGCTATAAATGTCAGTCAGCATCAGAGGTCTGATTTCAGGCTTCTTCTAGTGTTAACAAATGATTCAGTCGGTTCTAAGCTACGTGGAGAAAGATCAAGATGGGTAGCCGTGTTAATCTGCCTGTAGTAGTAGAAAAGAGCAAGAGTCCAGAGTAGCACCTTATAGACTAACAAAATTTGTGGCAGGGTATGAATTTTTGAGTCATGGCTCACTTCTTATCTGTATCTGAAGCTGTGTCTGCAGAAGTAAGCCGTGACTCACAAAAGCTCATACCCTGCCACAAATTTTGTTAGTCTTTTTTTAAAGTAATTTTTATTAATTTTAAATATTAAAACAGTAATAACAGTTATGTGTACAGACTCTTGTTCTTCTCTAGATCTACCCCCGCCAAATGTCTGACGTATATGAACAAGGAGCATAAGAAGAGCCTACTGGATCAGACCACTGGTCCATCTAGTCCAGCATCCTGTCTCACAGTTCCTCTGGAGGGTCAACTCAGGAACTCACGTGCTTTAAAAACAGAGTCAATCTTTTCTTTTTTGTCGTGGAGTTTGAAAATGACGCATTCTGGAATTAACCACCTGGATCCAATGCCATTTGTTTGTAGAAAAAGGATTAAATCTTTACATTTCTTTCTCTTCTGTCTTATTTCAAATGGGATATCTTTTAAAATCCTGATGTTATTGTCCCCAATTTTCAAGGGTGTTCCAATAGTTGCTTTCAAAATAGAATCTCTCACGTGTCTCTTCGAGAATCTGACTACTATTTCCCCAGGCAGATTATTCTTCTTGATGTATGAGGAGTAGTACCTGTAAACCACATCCATCTCGCTGTAAAGATATTCCGCTTTCAAATCTGTAGCTGGGGCTAATGCTTCACTCAGCAATTGCTTCAGATTCTCACCTTTTAATTCTGGGACCCCTTTGAACCATAGGACCAGATTTGCTTTCTCCATCTGCAGCTGTAAAAGTTGTGATTCTTCCGCAGCTTGTTTCATTTCCAGCTTTTGCACCTTTTTCTTAACTTTTTTAGTGTTGACGTCTATTTCCTTCACCTTCTCAGCCATTTGCTCCGTTACTTTTAAAGACTCAGTCAATTGGAGCTGCTGAGACGCCATACTCTTACTTATTGTTGACAACTGTTGCTTGATGTTAGTCATCTCGTCCAGCAGAGGGCGCAAGGAATCTGCCAACATTTTAGAGAGCTCAGTGGTCTCTTCTGTTCGAGGGCTACCAACTAGTTTCACTTTTATAAGTTTGTCTTTGTCTGCTTTCTTCCCCGCCATCTTTATGGATTATTTACTTTTATAAAAGTATCTGAAATTCACCCTTACGCTTAACCACGCTCTGGTAAGTCTCTTAAAACAGATTTAAATGCTTATTCTTCCGCTCCCCCCCTCTTTGTTTCGTGCTTTCGTTCATGCGTTTGGGAGGGGCCCCTCCCCTGCTCGCTTTTCATTGCTCTGTAGTGGGGGAGGGGGTTGCTTTCTTTTTAAGTTCTCATGTTTGCTTTAACCCGACACACAGTTCATTGTCGGCCATTCGGCCACGCTCGGCATCCGTTTAACTCGCTTGAACTCCGATGCTTGTCCCAGTCAGCGGCTCTAAGTCCATTCGGACACTCAGCAGCAGGACCATCGGGGCAGAGGAGCGCCTCAATTCTCCAGCATTGCGCTGGCGAAGAGGTCGCCCCTCAACAGCCCCATGGCTAGTGTTATGTATGGAACTGAATGTATGAACGTATGGAGCTTGAGTCTATGCAAGGTATTGTAAACCGACCTATCAGAACAAGGGAAGTTCTGGAGGGAAGGAAAGTGATTGGTCCTTATGTACAGTTTCTGATTGGATCTTATCTGACTTGTGGGCATGGCTTGCCAAGCCCGGACTGTTTAAAAAGGAGCCTGTTGCTCCATTGTTTGTCTCATTCGGGTTCTTCTGACTTTGTGTTTAATAAAGCTGTTATCACTGTTCACCTGCTGCCTCGAGTCTCGTATCTAACAGCTAGGAGCCTTTTGCCAAGGCTCCGGGGGGGTCGCGACCCTTCGCACCCCGTCCTACACGTTGGTGTGCAGATTACATCCCCGGGAGGTCTGGGAGAAGCGTCTGCCTGCATGTCGCCATAAACCGGAAGTCAAATTTTGTTAGTCTTTAAGGTGCTACTAGACTGTTGCTCTTTGCTACTGTATTTGTTGTTGTTCGGTTGCACAATCAAGTCCGAGTCTTCATGACCCCATAGACCACATCATGCCAGGCCCTCCTGTCTTCCGCTGTCCTCCGGAGTTTGCTTTGTTTCATGTTCGTTGCATCAGTGACACTGTCTAACCATCTCATCCTTTCAAACCCCTTCTTCTTTGACCTTCAATCTTTCCCAGCATCAGGGTCTTTTCCAGTGAGTGCTCCCTTCTCATTTGGTGGCCAAAGTATCTGAACTTCAGCTTTAGTGTCTGGCTTTCCAGGAAACAGTCAGGGTTGATTTCTTTTAGGATTGACTGATTTGATCTCCCTGCAGTCCAAGGGACTCTCAAGAGCCTTCTCCAGCACCATAATTCAAAAGCATTTATTCTTCGACACTCGGCCTTCCTTATGGTCCAACTCTTGTAGCCACATATGGGAATACTATCGCTTTGACCTTTTGTTGGCAGGGTGATGTCTCTACTTTTTATTATGCTGTCTAGGTTTGCCATAGCCTTCCTCCCAAGGAGCAGGCGTCTTTTAAGTTCATGGCTGCAGTCACTGTCTGCAGTGATCTTGAATCCCAACAATGTGAAGTCTGTCACTGCTTCCATGACTTCCCCTCCTGTTTGCCAAGGAGTTGATGGGGCTGGATGCCACGATCTTAGTTTTTTTGATGTTGAGCTTCAAGCCCACTTTTGCGCTCTCCTCTTTCACCCTCAGTAAGAGATTCTTGAGGTCCTCTTCACTTTCTGCCATTAGAGTGGTATCGTCTCCATATCTGAGGTTGTTGATGTTTTTCCTGGCAATCTTAATTCTGGCTTGTGATTCATCCAGGCCGGCATTTCGCATGATATACTCTGCATATAAATTAAATAAGTAGAGTGACAATATATATCCTTGTCGTACTCCTTTTCATTTGCTAAACCAATCACTAGTTCCATATTCAGTTCTGTCACTTCTTGACCCTTATACAGGTTTCTCAGGAGACATGTGAGGTGATCTGGTACTCCCATCTCTTTAAGGACTTGCCAGTTAGCGTAGTCAATGAAGCAGATGTTTTTCTGGTACTCCCTTGCTTCCTCCAAAATCCAGGAATGTTGGCAATTTGATCTCTAGTTCCTCTACCTCTTCGAAACCCAGCTTGTACTTGTGGCAGTTCTCTATCCACATACTGGCTGAAGCCTAGCTTGTAGGATCTTGAGCATTACCTTGCTGAAGTTTACTATCTCTATGTGGCCCAGATCAAGAAGATTCAAATGACAGCATCTTGAAATCTATGTATATGGATAGTGTGACCTGTTTTTCGATCTATGCTGTTTTAAACTGTTTTAATTGTTCTGTGAATTATATCGATATGTATGAAATTGTATTATATATTTTAGATTTTGCTCTGTGATCCGCCCTGAGCCTGCTTGTGGGGAGGCGGAATATAAATTGAAACAAATAAACAAACGATAAAACGTTCAGGTTTAACCTTTTTTCATTTAGCCTCTCGTGCGTCAACATGACATTACTGATATTTATTTTAAAAGTTACACATGCGCTCTCAGACTCTGAAGCAGCGTTTTACCAAGAAATTACTTAGCTCTATGGAGAGGGAGGGAAGGACTATATTTACGCACGCGCAATTGGGCTAACTTCAGCAAAGTCTATGGCGTCAGTGGTCCTTATTGCCTTTTCCTCTTTGCGCGTGCGTAACTGTGATGTTGACGGCCGCGGCAGTGGGAAGGGCGTGGGATTTGGTCATGCTTTATATTGCGCATGCTCAGTTGGACTTGTGCGCATGCGGCTTGGCTTGGGCAAGAGCGAAACGTCTATGGAGCGCGAAGTAAGCCGATGTCAGCTTGAACGGCGTAGCAGCGCATGCGCATTTGAGCAGTCCGCGGCCCAGGCGGCAGAGGGGAAGATGGCGGCGGTGGTACAGAATGTGGTGAAGCTGTGAGTGGAACTCTCGCTCTTCTCCCCGTTTCCCCCCTCCGGGCTTGAGTGGTACAGCCCGAACCCTTTGGAAGCGCGCGCGCAGGAAGGCAGTCAGGAAGGATCCATTTCTCTTTTGGTGGTGGAGGGGCTGGGGAGCGAAGAAGGGAGGGGGAGGTTGATGGATCTTTTCATTGTTCAGGGTTGAAGTTTTTTTTTTAACTTAAAGAAAATTTTGCTAACTCCCATAGGCTGTGAGGGGGGAGGGGCGAAAAAGCGTCCAAAACACGGAGTTTCGAAAGTGGGGGGAAAACAGAGCCGATCTGTTAAAAATCCCAAAATGATACGAGAAAAGGTTCAGATGCCCCCGTTCCAAGATTCAGAAACGGGCAGGCTCAGCCAGGCTGATGAAAAAAAGTAGAGCCTTCACTTTAGTGATGGAGTTGCTCAAAGAGGGGGAGGGCAAGAGAAACGACCCCTCGAAATCCCACAGGAGAACGGGGGGGGGGGGGGGGGGGAAGGAGAAAAACTGTGGCTTCTTTCCCCTGCCCCTTTAGAGCAACAGTGGCGGTGGTGGAAAAGGAAAAAAAATCTCTCACTTTTGAAAAAATTAAATCTGGAAAGAAAGGGCAGGGGGAGAATGAGCCTTCGTCCACCGTGTCCCAAAGGAGAACAGGAGGGGGGAGAATAAAAGTGAACCTCACCATAGATACCCCAAAAAGTAGGTGGGAGCAAGTCATTCATGAACAGCACCTCAGATCTCCAGAAAGAAAGGTGGTGGGGGAGGCAGACCCTTCCCCCATTGCTTCTTCCATAAGTTTCTACCGGAGATGGTTGGGGACAAAAGGAGAAAAACACCCCCAGAAACTGGGCAGGAATTTATGTATTTGAAATGTTTATACCACCACTCTTGACCAAGAATTGTTCCTCAGACAGCTTACAGATTCAATAAAAATAGGTGCTGATATTGATAAATAACAGAAAACCCGACCATCATAAAACAATTGAACATTCATAATTGGCATTTCAATATTGCCATTGGAAAAATTATTAAAAGGCAAGCATCAAAAGTTAGAAACAAATAGAAAAGTGAGGCAAAACATGAATGGGATGGGGAAGACTTTCTCCTAGCTCAGAACAAGGGTTGGAAAGAAAATTACATTCTCCACCCCCCTATGCAAATTCTCAGTGGGCAGAGGTGAATGCAAGAGAAATAAAGAGCACTCCACTAGTAAGGAGAAAGCGTGGTGACCCATCTCCCCATAAGATTAAAAAAAATGGATTGGAAGAGAGCTCTTAATAGAAATCAAGAAGATGGGATGAGAGGGAGAGTCAGGAGTGCTGAATGAATTGGGACAGAGGGGAGAGATTAGTTTAGATGATCTAAAGGGAGAGGGGGGGAAAGAGATGGGCATACTGCACACAGACAAAACAAGATTTCTCTGACTGCTGAATTCTCTTGAGTCTCACACATAATTGCAAAATATGTCCTGTCTGCACTGTGAGTGACAAGATTCAATGATCCTAGAGTGGAACCAGGTTCCAGTGTGGTGAAGGAAGGAGAGTCCCTCTGCCTTGCTCAAGGATTGAAGGAAGGAGGGGAGACTGGAGGTTGCATGTGTGTCCCTTTGCAACACTGGAGAGTCAAGTGCTTTATTTTCCTGATTTTTATTCTCTGGATTTCATGAACTTGTAAGTGGCAAGATGAATACAAAACACTGGAAGGGAAAGGGGCTTCTTTTTTTAAGTATCTACTTTCCCCTTTCCATTCCTCTGCTTTTTCCTGGCGAAAGAGATCTGAAATTCTTTCTTTTGAGCAGTTGGGTGCCTACTAGTTTCTATTTCCTGTTCCCTCAGTTACTGTGCGTGGTGAGATTTAAATACCGAAATTACTGTAATTATACCCTATTCAATTAAAGAGCCTTCCTTGCTGCTGCACCACAGATTTTGTTAAAGAATAGGAATACAAGCTGTGTATTTTCCCGCTCTCCCATATCTCCTAAGAATTTCCCATCTAAACCTATTTGTTAAGGGGGTTATTGAATAGGATCGGATGTTATTTTCCTTTTGCATCTTAATAGATTGAACATGAGATGCAGTAATGTCAAAAGCCTGCCCCACTAATGCATCTGTTCTTTTGAGAATGGAATTCTAAAATTAGACACATAACCAGAATTTTGATCTTGCACATTTAGAGCTGTTGGCTGTAAAGGATGATGAATACCTTTTTTCCCAGCCTTGGTTCAGAAAAGTGGTACGTATTGGTTTCTTATGCTTGAGTTGAGTACCGCAAATGATCTTTAGTTCTCCAGAGATTTCTTTGCAAAACAGCTTACTAGACAGTTTTTTTCTCTTTGTGGAGAGCCTGGAGTCATAGAATCGTAGAGTTGGAAAGGGCCACACAGCCCATTTAGTCCAACCCCCTGTTCAATGCATGATCAGCCTAAAGCATCCCTGATAAGGGTTCGTCTAGCCACGGCTTGAGGACTCCCAGTGAGGGGGAGCTCACCAACTCCCCAGGCGGCCGATTCCACTGTTGAACTACTCTTATTGTAGAAATGTTTTTCCTAATACCTAACCAGTACCTTCCTGCCCATAATTTAAACCCATTATTGAGAGTTCTGTCCTCTGCTGCTGACAAGAACAGCTCCCTGCCCTCCTCTAAATGACAGACCTTCAAATACTTAAACAGAAGAATCGTGTCCTCCTTCAGCCTTTCCTTGTAGGGCTTGGTGTCCGGGCCCTTGATCATCCTCTTCACACTCTTCTGTACCTGAGCCATTTTGTCCACATCTTTTTTGAAATGAGGCCTCTAGAACTGTGAACAATATTTCAGGTGTGGCCTGACCACGGTGGTGTACGGCAGGACTGTGACGTCTTGCAATGTTATGCTTTTGTCGATACACCCCGGGATCGTCTTGAGCCCTGCTTGGTGGGGAATGGTATGGGATATAAGTTGAATTAACAAAATACGTTGAATAAAATAAATAAATAAATAAGCCTTTTTTTGCTGCTGCACCACACTGACTGCACGTAATTACCTTACTGTCCATCTCCAGTCCCAGGTCAATGCCACTTTTGACAGTACAATAAAGCCGTGGTGGCTTGGAGATAAAGGAAAAGACATACCCGGTTTAATGGAAGGAGGAGGAGGAGGAGGAGGAGGAGATTGGATTTATACCCCGCCCTTCGCTTGGAGTCTCAGAGCGGCTTACAAACGCCTTTCCCTTCCCCTCCCCACAACAGACACCCTGTGAGGTGGGTGGGGCTGAGAGGGCTCTGACAGAAACTGCTCTTTTTCAAGGACAGCTGTGCCAGAGCTTGTGACTGACCCAAGGTCACATCAGCAGGTGCAAGTGGAGGAGTGGGGAATCAACCCCGGTTCTCCCAGATTAGAGTCCGCGCACTTAACCACTACACCAAACTGGAAGGAAAGGAAAGCCTTGGATCCTGAGGAGGATCTTGTTCACACACACTGTTAAACCCCCCCCCCCCCCCCCCCAGACTCCGTCCTTCTCATCCAGTATGCGTGCTTCTCATTTTTGTTACTCAGATGTAGAATTCTGCACTTACCCTTGTTGAATTGCATCTTGTTCACATCTGCCCACTTCTCCTGTGTGTTGAGCTACATAGGTTCTTGAAGGATGATTCTAGTATGAACAGGCCTCTTCTAATGTTTGGTTCTTCAACTCCACAGCCTTGGTGAACAGTATTACAAGGACGCAATGGAGCAGTGCCACAACTACAATGCCCGACTGTGTGCCGAGAGGAGTGTCCGGCTGCCATTCTTGGACTCACAGACTGGGGTGGCGCAGAGCAACTGTTACATCTGGATGGAGAAGCGGCACAGGGGGCCAGGTTGGGGGCGGCTGTTCTTTTGAGGCGTTTGACATCCTGAAGCTTCAGATCACAGCATGGTTGTCTTGTGTGGGGAGTACTTTGCAAAAAGAGCATGGGTTTTACTTAAGTCCAGGCAGCAGCTCTTCTTGGCCCTAAATGAACATTGCTGCTGTATCTTTTAACAGCTCACATGGGAGTTATGGGGCAGGAAGGTACTTTCTTCCCTGTTGAAGCCCTCGTATTTATTAGAAGAAGTTAGCCATATGGACGGTATCACTTGTGTGGCCTTGTGTTAGTTCTTTACAGTTTTACGGACCAACCGTGGCCCAGATGAATGATGAGAATGTGGAATGCTTTGTAGAGGCATGAAGGAAGGGTCATCAGGATGTGCCCAGGGATAGAGCTGTGAATTGGCTATGTTAGTGCTTCTTTTCTTAAATGTCTTTCTGTCTCTTTATTCCCTGGAAGGTTTGGCATCTGGACAGCTCTATTCCTACCCTGCTCGCCGCTGGAGGAAAAAACGCCGCGCTCATCCTCCTGAGGATCCAAGGCTTTCCTTTCCTTCTATTAAACCAGGTATGTCTTTTCTTTGTCTCCAACCCACCAAGGATTTACTGTGATGTCAAAAGTGGCAGCTTCCAAAGGCTGTAGATCTTTGGGTCTTGCATACTTCGGTTTCCTCCACTTTATCCTTTCAGCTGCTGTAATAGTAGTGGAGAACCCGTTATTGTAAGTCATTTTATGCAACAATTTTAAGTAATGGCACTTCAGCATTTTATGTGGTTGCTTCCTGCTTTGGAATTACCTTTCCAAGATTTGCCAAAGCTTGAGCATCTTCTAAAAGCAATATAATATTCAGTCCACTACAAGCAGGCACCTTGTGTAGTTTTCCAGTAATAGTCAGCAGCACCTTGGAACGCTAGTGTGCTGGAAGAATGGTAGGCTGCTGTCCTTTTCCCTGATATAGTCAGAACATAAGAATTGCCTTGAAGGATCCAAGCCAAATGTCCCTCTAGCCCAGTGCTTTGTTTCTAATGGTGGGCATGGCCAGTGAGAAGCCTTTGGGATGTCCAGAAGCAAAGCATGCTGGATGCTCATTTGCATGTTGTCGCTGAACATAGTACAGTTATGGCAAATGATGTTGACCACGCAGGAAGTTGTGTTAGAGGACTGTTCCACCAGGATGTTTGGAAATGGCTTTTAGTAACAAGGGTAGCCAAACAAACTTTACGGACTAATCAGATATTGTCAGTTGATCGCCAGTTTGGTGTAGTGGTTAAGTGCGCAGACTCTAATCTGGGAGAACCAGGTTTGATTCCCCACTCCTCCACTTGCACCTGGCTGGATGGCAAGCCGTAGCTCTGACAAGAGCTGTTCTTGAAAAAGGGCAGTTTCTGTCAAGAGCTCTCTCAGCTCCACCTACCTCACAGGGTGTCTGTTGTGGGGAGGGGAAGGGAAAGGAGTTTGTAAGCTGCTCTGAGACACCTTTGGGTAGTGAAGGGCGGGGTATAAATCCAATCTCTTCTTCTTCTTCTTTTGGTTTACTCTAGTCTGTTGTTCTACAAAGCAAAGAATAGCACTGTGTAGGTGACAGCTGACCTTTGCAGTTTCACTGGTTAGTGAGATCAAGAGTGAGGGTTTGTGGCTGTCAGGGGGCAGACTTAGGAGCATAGCAAAGCTTCTCCTTATTTTGTAGTATAGTGCAGACATCTCCAAACAGGAAGAGTTTGCCTACTGCCTATTTAGCACAGCTGCATTTAAAAACTCACTTTTGGGGTTTTTTTTAGGAGTGGTGTTACTTTGTTTTATTTCTGCTTTAATGTCTTAAAAACGTCTTTTGAAACCGTAGACTAATCTTGGTGTTCCAGGAGATAAGTATTTAATTAATTAATTTATACTCCACCTTTCTCCCCAGTGGGGACCTAGGAATGCTTACACCATCCTCCTCCTCCTCCTCCTCCTCCTCCATCATTTTATTCTCACAACAGTCCTGAGAGGGGCTGAGAGAGGGTGACTGGCCCAAGTTCACCCAGCAAGCTTCCATGGCAAGAGTGGGGATTCAAACCTGAGTCCCCCAGATACTAGTCTAACACTGAACTGCTACACTGCACCGGCCCTCAATAAATAAAAGTCAGTTAAAGTCAATGAGAGGAATTATTCAATGAATCGTTCACATTTATAGAAACATTGCATATCTTTATTAAAGATAAAATAACCTTTTAAAGTTCCCTTTAATTGTTTCACGACAACACCTTTATCATTGTTTTGTAATTAGCATCACTGTTTGTGATTGAAAGGGTTTTTAAAACACTATTTATTACCAATACTTATGGATAACAATAGCACTAATAACACCTTATAAAAAACACAAATAAATCCAGTTAATCACCAATGAAGGAAGGACTAAAAATAACAATAACAGAAACCAGTGGAGTTCCAAAATAGGCATACCTGTATTAGTGAGCATTTATTGTAATGATGTTGATGTAACAATATTTGGTTAGTCTGTTGACTGGTCTAATGGCCAACTGGACCAACAGTCACACCTGTTGTTTCTGTCTTCCAGCTCACACTGTGACATCCTGGGTAGATCCTTGCCCTATGTTAGAATAGCGCCAAGTGTGTGGTGATGCTGTTAGAAGTAACGTTGCAGAGGTTTTTATGTGAGATGGTTCACTTTAAGGGGAAATGCCCTTAATGTGATCATGAAAATGGATTTTAGAACAATATTTGAGTCCTGCCCTCCATAATGAACATGCCTTACACTTTGTCTTGAAAGTTCTCAGGCTCACCACAGGTCCTCTGGAGAGGGAAGTTCCTCTGTTACAGCCCCTCTGCATCATGTGATTGTTCTGACGAGGCCCACCTAATAACTCTTAGGTGTTATTCTTGGAGCTTAAAATAATAAGATCCTTGCTGTGTTAAGGCATGTTTGCAGAAACACCGATGATGCTTATCAGATCAGGAACTGTCAGCTTCCCTGAAAAATTGCCTGGCCTGGCTACCACTTCGTTCCCATCCCCTGCAACACGTAACTGGAGGGAAATATTGGAATGTCCTACGGCTGGTCATGCGCTCCATTCATGTCCAGTGCCAGTGAAGCCAGCCATGCTTTTGGCCAGCACTCTGCGTAACCTTGCTGGCCACCACAGAACAGTTTCCAAATTCCTTTACAGCACGCAGGGTTTCCTTCATGGGAGACTTAGTAGAAATGATTCTTTGAAGGTGGAAGGCTTGAAACTCAGTCTCCTAGTGAGATCCTTTAGCTGAGTTCTCAACCTTTTTAGTACGGTGACCCACTAAAAACAACAACAGAGCATGCACAAATCACTAAAACTATGAAAGCACAGGGACCCACTTTCACAGGCTTTGCAGTCCGGGGCTGAGATCCACAGGTTGAGGAATGCTGCTCTGATGGTGGAAGGTGCCCTGTAGGGTTTTCAAGGCAAGAGACAAACAGAGGCGGTTTGGCCATTGCCTGCCCCTGCATGGCAACTCTGGACTTCCTGGGTGGCCTCCCATCCAAGTACTAACCAGGGCTGACCCTGCTTAGCTTCTGAGGTCTGACGAGATTGGGCTATCCTGGGCCATGTAGGTCAAAGAAATGCTGCTCTTGCCCAATCTCCACCCCCCCACACTGCATTTTGACATTCTCACACACTGTCCATTCTAAAAAAGCAACCAAGACTGACTCCTGAAAGACTAACAGGTTTATTGTGGCAGAAGCTTTTGTACTGTGTATGCTGTGCACTGTGTTGGTAAGGCTGCACCTGGTTTACTGTGTGCAGTTCTGGAGGCCTTACTTTCAAAAAGGATGTGGACAGAACGGAGTGGGTGCAGAGGAGAGCAGTGAGGATGATCGGGGGCCTAAAGGCCAAGCCCTATGAGGAGCAGCTGAGGGACTAGATGGCCTGTATGGCCACTTCCGCCTCTGATTCTGTGATTCTATGTCAGGTACACAGAGTATTGCCCTCGATAGGCTTGCATCATATACACCGGTAGAATGGAAGCTGTGAAATTAAAATTGTTCTGTGACGTTTCTAGGCATAACTCAGTCTGAACTTGGTGATAATACCACCTTTCTAGTTTTTGCTGTACTAACGGTCTGGGACCAACGTATCTATGGGATCGCCTCTCCTGGTATTCTCCCCCCCCCCCCCGAGCATTACATTCAGGGGAAAAGAACCTACTGGTGATCTCTGGCCCAAAAAACATCTGGCTATCCTCAGCCAGAGCCAGGGCTTTTTTGGCCCTGGCACTGACCTGGTGGAACTCTCTGCAGAATGATATTTGTGCCCTGCGGGACTCAGCCCAGTTCCACAGGGCCTGTAAGGCAGAAATGTTCCACCGGGCCTAGGGTGGGGGACAGCGGCACTTTCCATCCAGCCCGGCTCCTTCCTCTCTGCCCTTCCTTTCCTCGCCCCCAACGGGGTAAGGATATAAACTGATGCATTTTAAGCGTCGTCTGAAACTGTTATCGAATTGCTGTTGTTTTTCACTGGATCTGTAAATGTCGTTTTTGGAATGGTATGAATGTATTTATTGGAAATGCCGTCCACTGCCCTGACCGCACAGGGGAGGGTGGTCCACAAGTCGAATATATCCATAAATAAGGGAACAGCTGCACAAACCAGCATAGCAAAATGAGGAAGAGGGTGCTCCTAATTACAGCCGTCGTGAAGGGACACGGCCCTCATCTTGCATACGTTTGAGCTTTGCATGGAAATGTCACAGACCTCTTGCGTTTCATACCCTTCTGGCTCCACCGTTTACAGCTCCTTTTCCTCTGCTCCCGTGCGTGCATGCCGCTACTTGCTGTTCGCGAGTAGCACTTCCCGTCGCTGATAAAGCAGCCTGCTAGCTCATGAGAGCTCTTGTTCGCTTTCATGGTTCCGCAGGGTTCTGTTCTTGCAGCAGTAGGCTAAAATGGTTGCCTCTCTGGGCTTTCTTTTTTGCAGACCCTGAACAGACCCTGAAGAAAGACGGTCTGATCTCTCAGGATGGTAGCAGCCTGGAGGCCCTCCTGAGGACGGACCCTCTTGAGAAACGCAGCTTGCCTGACCCTCGGACTGATGAAGACAGCCTGGGTGAATTTCCCGTTGCCAACAGCCGTGCGCGTAAGGTAGGGCAGCGAGAGAGCCGTCTCCCTTCTGTTTCAAGAGGGGGCTTCACAGTAACATTCGTACGACGTCTCTGTTAAGATGCGGTTTAATTTTACTTTCCTATTTTGTTGTTGGGGGCAGCAGAAGGGAAAAATCTTCACCTGGAAGAAGGCGATCAAGTGAGATGTCTCCCGGTCCCTGTCGCTGAACTCTTTCTTTTTGGGTCATGTTTTTGTCATCTTTTGGTCTCGAGTTTTTGATGTTTTTGGGGCAGCGGAAATGCTCCTGGGATTCCCTAATATTTACGTTTTGTAACATATCCTATATGTTAACAAAGAAAGTTGGGTAAAGTTGGGAATCGAGGCTATCTGGGGCCTTCCCACTAGCGAGGGTTGACGAGTGTTGGATGCATCCAATGGGGAGGATTAATTTTTCTTTTATAGACATAAGGAGACAGACCTTCCATTCATCACACATTTCCTGTTGCCTGCCTCACAATATGAGCAAAGTACAGGGGTGTGTGTCCGGCCTTAGGCTAGATTATGTTCCTCCAGGTTGAGGCGCTTTCCTGTGACTTACACAGCTCTTTTGCTGGAGGAAGGCTTCAAATGTTAGTCAGTGACGTGGTAGGATATATGCCATTTTTGTTCTTTTTAAAAAATGCCCGGACCTGGATAGCCCAGGCTAGCCTGATCCCATCAGATCTCAGAAGCTAGGGGTTGGCCTTGGCTAGTATTTGGAAGGGCGGCCTCCAAGGAATACCAGGGCTGCAACACAGAGGCAGGCAATGGCAAACCACTTCTGAATCTGAGGAAGTGTGCTTATCCACAGAAGCTTATACCATGAATAAAACTTTGTTCGTCTTAAAGGTGCCACTGGACTCAAACTTTGCACCTCTGAAATGTCTCTTGCCTTAAAAACAAGTCTAGCTTGCCACCAAGTGGTGCATAATGCTAAAGAGCTAGAACTTTTGGCTGCCAGAGAGTCTTACGATCTCCAGGCTATTCTACACACAGTGCCGTACAATAATTATTATTGGTCATTTTTACAGTACAGTGTATACTTTTTGCACACTTTCAAAATCCCCCATCCCCCTTTTCATCCCTACTTCTCTCATTTTTGGTGGATAGTTTCAGTGCATCCTCATTTGTCAATAATGTTTTCATAGGTAACTAGAGGACTGTCCAATTGTAACCAAGAAAACCTGGTAGTCTTCACTTTCTCAAAGATTGGCTGCTCATAAACATAAATGCTGTTTCGGCTTAATAGGCAGGCAGTTATTTCCATCCCCAAAGCTACCAGGAGCTCTGTGCCAGGTTTTCCAAGTGACCAAGCTTTCTAAGCAGTGATTATGACCACTAATCCATGCTCATCCTTTTATGCATCCTGAGAAATGCAGCTGCTTTCAGCCTCTCTATTTTCTGGTGGACGTGCTGCGTGCGAGTGCTGCTGTTATTGTATGGTTGGATTAATGGTTTCGATTATATTATTATGTTTGGTCACGCTGTTACAAAACTCTCCCTATGTGCCATGTGATCACATGGCAGGGGGAACCCTGCCTGCAGCTTCTGTTTCCAGGACCTTCGTTTCCTTTCTGCATTGTCCTTTGCTGTTCTGCCTCCCCCATCCTCCTTAAGGCCTTCAGCTATCTCCTGCTCCTTGTTTGTTTTCTCCTTGTATTGCAAACTGTCCTTTTGGCTCATGGACACTTCCTTTGTAACCAGGGTGGAATTTAACGTGAAATGAATGTGAAATGTAAACCAGTCTGCTTTGCAAAAATCAGTGCAGGAAAGGGAGGGGGGAGGGTTGACTCTCTGGTTTTCATCATCATTTTTGGCTTGTTGAACTGCTGAATCTTACAGCCCTGTTGGCCAGCTCCCAGCACCGACTCCAATAGCCTAGTAAGGCAGCTGAGAAAGAAAACTTGTAGTTTGTTTCCAGGCTCCAGGAAAGCAGAGAAGGGGGAGAGAAGTTCTTTTTTTTTATTGAAGGATTTGTGTGTGACAGCCCTTGTTTAGCTCTGAATTGTGGGTATGAGATGTCCATCTGCAAGTCCTGTGTGTTTTCTTTGCTTAATTAGTTTATGCATGCATACATATGTTGCCTAAAAACGGTGGGAAAATTTTGCTTGCTTCAGTTTAAGATACTTAGAGCAGAGTTCATGTTAGTGTCCACCTAGAGCAGAAGTAACTTACCAGATGGAGCCCTAAGGAGGAACGGTGTGGGTGGTCTGCTGCATGGGATCTATGCTCTGGACAACAGCTGCTGGCACTCCTGAAGTCCATCCAATTGGGCATGGAAAGAGGGCTTGCTGTGCAGGCCTTGTAGCCCCCCCCCCCCGGCATTATATTTAATATTGGAGTGGATTTATGAAATCTCCCAAGTGTGGAAGAATTGCAGAGGCCACAGTAATGCAGCATTACTTTTGTTTCTGCCATGCAGATGGACAGCCCGGTCCTATGTGAGTTACCCTCAGGCTAATCCCATTCATTGCAAGTGGTTTAAACTGGAGCAATTCTGCCTAGGATTGCTCTGTAGACCTTTTGTGCTCTTCAGCTGTTCACTGCATTGGTAACTACTTCAGAAACACTCCAATTAAAATCGGGGCAAACCCAGATCTTAAGGCGTGCCTCTTGGATCAACGCTGGAAGCTATTTCCCATCAGTTTTCTGCTTGTTTCCTCTACAGTAATCCCTGTTTCTCTGTTCTAGCGCATCCTGGAACCAGATGATTTCTTGGATGATCTGGATGATGAGGATTATGAAGAAGACACGCCAAAACGCAGAGGCAAAGGCAAGGCGAAGGTACAACTAGTGAAGCAGAGTTTGGGAGCCTTCTGCCCCTCCTCTGCTGACGGATGAGGGTAACCCCAAGTGGCTTCCCACTTTTCCCCCTCGCTCCAAGCACAGGGCCATGCATGCTTTTGCCTGGACTGCATCCCTGCTTCCAGTCCCAATCCTGCCTGCCTGTTCTGCAGTAGTGGTTTTTTTTTTCTGGAGTTCATGCTCAGTCACGATTTTATTGCAAGTGTGGCCCGGACTCTTCTCTCTGCCCTCCCTCTGGATTAACTGTTCTGAATCAGATGGAACAGATGGATTATGCCAGTGGTTTTTGTCTGCTGCATATAACTTGCTGCTCCCCAGCAGTCACAGCTAGTTGTGATGGGCTGTGAGAGGCAGGAAGCATAGAGGCACGGCAGGAAGCGCTCCCTGTAGACCCCATGAACTAACTAGGTGCCTGTACAGGGGAACAGGACTCTTGCTGGGTCTGAGTAATGGTATCTTCTGCCCAGGGAGGGAGAACTCTGGCTGGCTGCCCTAAGATGCTCCTGCATAGAGTAGAAAAGCCTTTGGCTTTAGGCAAAGCGGCGGGGAAGGGAATCCTACAGGTCACACAAGACGGAAAGGAAGGAGCAAGGAGGGGTGCAAAGCGAAGTAGGGACAATCGAGGGGGTAGAAGCTTGCGAGTTAATGGAGAGCCAGCATGGAGAAGAGGCTAGAGTGTGGGAGACCCAGGTTCGAATCCCCACTCTGCCATTGAAGCTCACTGGGTGAGCTAAGGCCCTTTACACTCTCTCTCAGCCTCAAAGAGCAGTTGTTGTAAGGATAAAGTGAGTAACAGGAGAATAATTTTGTGAGCTGGTTTGGTTTGCATTGGTGAAAAAAATCTAATGTGAAGTGCAACGACAGTGCCAGTGTAAGGATGTGGGAGGGGATGTCTCTTGATTGTAGCCCAAAAAGAAAAAAAACATGGGGCTGCAGCGGTCTCCTAGTGCGATACCATGTGCTTTAATAGTTATTCATTTAGATAATTTATTGTCTCTCTTTCTTGCTGAGACTCAAGATAGATGTAGTGATGGTTGTCTTCTCCGAGTCTTAAAATCCTTTAAAGGTTAAAAATTCGTTCCAGGGATGTGCCACTTGGGGGCAGTAATGAGCTATCATTTCTCATGCAGAGTCTTGGAGCTGGAGCCCCATTATCTGTTTCCTGTGTTTGATTAGAATTGCTACCCTGCCTAATTCCAATAATGATAATATGTTTGCAAATACAGTGATGCGTGTGTGTTATGCTAAATTGCCAGCACTAATGATTGTTGCTTTTGAACATCTTAGCATTGGCTGTATTTTTTAGAGAAAGGATGCACACCTGCATATTTTAAAAAAAGTTTTGGACATAAAATAATGGTACTTCTACGATGCATCCGTGATCCAAAGAAGATAGTGCGCTTGTATTTGTTTTTAACGTAAGTTTATTGTCTGCCTTTCTCACAGACTCAAGTTGGACTGCATTCTTTTAAATTCAGTAAAACAGTATAGTAATACGATAACCACAATAAAACTGGATTGCAAAAATTAGGAGAAAGTCCAACTTGGCACGCTCTCTTCAAAATATTTCTCTATACTGGTTGCAATGAGTAATCAATAAGAATCATGGCAAGAAATCCCATTGGTTTCAGTTAGTAAATACTAAATAGTGTGTTTGGGTCACTTGCTGCCTATATTATGCATGCCATAATCTGCACAACATGTGTGTTGTCATAAATAAAGCCGTTACCTTGGTATTCTCATGCGGGGCTGGAAACACATCTCAGTTCCTTGGGCCAGCAAGATCTTTTCTTTTCCCTTGGCCAGCTACTATTGTATTTATTATATTTATGTCTTGTTATTCTTCCATTATGGTGGCTTAAATAGGATTCCCAAGAAACCTCCCAGCCTGGCACTGATCAGACCCAGTCCTGTCTGCTTTGCTTAGCTTCGGCAAGACCGCTGTCTCCTGTGCTGTCCGGCTATAGTTTGGGGCCAGAATATCACGGGGCTACTAAAATTGGCTGCAGTTTCCTCACTTTCTCCTTTTCTGGTTCCCTAGGGCAAAGGAGTTGGGGGTGCCCGGAAAAAACTCGATGCAGCCATTTTGGAAGACAGAGACAAACCTTATGCCTGTGACAGTGAGTACTAATGCGCGCCTTGTTGGGGAATGGAAGCTGCCATGAGTATACACTAAACATGCTTTTGCTAGAGAGGATGGTGCTCTTGTGGGCTGTGGGTGAACGGCATGTCTGGTCTCTTTTTTATAAAAATGCTTTGGAAGAACCTGAGGAGCTTCCTGCTCTGTCTTGGCCTTGCAAGGAATCACCTTATTGTGAGAAGCTGTGAGATGATGACTTTTCTTTGCCCAGCTTAGGGGTATACAAGCTTTTCAGTTTCACAGAACTCTTTGTTTTGCCCGCTGAAGAGTTTTGTGGAAATGCAGATGCTTGCACATCCCTTCTCCCAGCTGAAGCCAGCTCCTGCAGAGTGAGAAGTTTTGGCAACTTCTTCGTTTCCTTGGCGTCAAGCACGAAAACCAGGCACAGTGTTGTCAACCCTGACTTGCAGTGGATCCTGGAGTCTCTCCCAGCCCTGCGATTCTTTAACTGGAGATGCTGGGGATCGAACCTGCAGTCACACTGATGTGAAGCAGGTGCTGTACTACAGAACCTCCACCCCTTCCTCCTTCTCTGGCAGAACCCAGGGTGGAGCACGCATACACACAGCACAGAAGGGGCAGCTGCTTTGCCTGGGTATCACTTTACTAATATCCCGTCTCACACACGGGCCCCCATTCTAAGAAGACCAGCCCTGTGTGGCTGCCTTCTCCGACTATATTATTTGGCTCTTCCATTCCCTGTGTACCAATTTGGAAATGAATGCCCATGCAAACCTGGCTATTGTCATGGTGGGTGGGGGAACTGACAAGAATTAAAAAAAAAAATCGCAAAGAATGAGTTTTTGAAATTACTTTTCTTTCTCTCCTCCTTTACTGTCCTGTACAAATTTTATATTCGCCCCCTTTAATTTGAAATTAACACCAGTTAGCATTTTCTTTCCTCCTTTTTAATCGCTCTGTATAGCTTACCGTGTGCATGTCTGTGACCTATAGAGTGTTTTCACCTTTCTCTCATTATTCTCTTTCTGTATTTCAGATAGTTACAAACAAAAGCATACCTCGAAACCTCCTGACCGAGGTATTCCATTCTCTCTGTCTGCTATTTTATTTCTTCCTGACTTTGTTCTCCTGAAATGTTAGTTTTAAAAACTCTTTTTTAAAAAGTGGGTATATTTTGATACAGGGCACCAAAAATCCCTCCCTCCTGTGATGTGCTTTTTGTGTGTGTTGGGGGGGTTGTTTTTGAGTGGATGTTGTGTATTGGGTTTGGAGGATGTATGGAAGCTTGTTTTGTGTCAAAATTTCTCAGCAAAGCAGTAGAGAGGTGAGAGGTCGGAGTTCAGATTTGTGCTTGATTTGAGAGGA